CACTCCCCTCTCTCCACCACACACTCCCCCCTCTCCACCACACACTCCCCCCTCTCCACCACACTCCACCACACTCTCCACCGCACACTCCCCCCTCTCCACCACACACTCCCCCCTCTCCACCACACTCCCCCCTCTCCACCACACACTCCCCCCTCTCCACCACACACTCCCCCCTCTCCACCACACTCCCCCCTCTCCACCACACACTCCCCCATCTCCACCACACACTCTCCCATCTCCACCACACACTCCCCCCTCTCCACCACACACTCCCCCCTCTCCACCACACACTCCCCCATCTCCACCACACACTCCCCCCTCTCCACCACACACTCCCCCATCTCCACCACACACTCCCCCATCTCCACCACACACTCCCCCCTCACCACCACACACTCCCCCTCTCACCACACACTCCCCCCTCTCCACCACACACTCTCCCATCTCCACCACACACTCCCCCCTCTCCACCACACACTCCCCCCTCTCCACCACACACTCCCCCCGCTCCATCACACTCCCCCCTCTCCACCACACACTCCCCCCTCTCCACCACACTCCCCCCTCTCCACCACACACTCCCCCATCTCCACCACACACTCTCCCATCTCCACCACACACTCCCCCCTCTCCACCACACACTCCCCCCTCTCCACCACACACTCCCCCATCTCCACCATACACTCCCCCCTCTCCACCACACACTCCCCCATCTCCACCACACACTCCCCCATCTCCACCACACACTCCCCCCTCTCCACCACACACTCCCCCTCTCACCACACACTCCCCCCTCTCCACCACACACTCTCCCCTCTCCACCACACACTCCCCCCTCTCCACCACACACTCCCCCCTCTCCACCACACACTCCCCCCGCTCCATCACACTCCCCCATCTCCACCACACACTCCCCCCTCTCCACCACACACTCCCCCCTCTCCACCACACACTCCCCCCTCTCCACCACACACTCCCCCCTCTCCACCACACACTCCCCCCTCTCCACCACACACTCCCCCATCTCCACCACACACTCCCCCCTCTCCACCACACACTCCCCCATCTCCACCACACACTCCCACCTCTCCACCCTCCTTAATACTCTCGAGACTCAGTGAGGTTTTCCTGGTAAATGGAAAAGGCGCATCATCAACATCATTATTATTCTGTTGGTGCCCGCGGCTGCTATGTTCAGCGCGATGTCCGACGTTTCGGTTTCTGAAGCTCGTAGCTCGGTTACGACCCGGAAACGACGCGTCGAGAGGTGGAGATGATCACCGCACCCCACGTGTCACAGAACACCCCAATGACACCAAAGACCCCCCACCGTGTAGCCTTAACAGACTGTCGGGGCAAGTGCTGTTGGCAAGCACTTATGAAGGCGGGAACGGCACACGAGGGGGTGGGTGGCCAGCACCACGCCCGGCCACCTTTGTCTCCCTAGTGGCGATGTTTACACACCGCACCAGGTACTCATTTGAGGCTGAGTCGACCAAGGGAAAGCCCGGTACCGGTTCGGATAATCGTTCACTGGTGTTGGTCGTGAGTTGGAATCGAACCCGGGTACCCGGGGTTCGTAGCTTCGTAGCGCAGCTTAGCGCTAACTGCTACCACCACCACCACCGCCGCCGCATTCCTCGTTTTTTTCTCAGCGCCTCCTTTTGTTTTGACGAAGTCTCGCGACTGCCGGGGAGCCGAGGTCACGGCGAGGTCAGGAAGTTGGAGCCGCCTCCGTCAAGGAGCGGAATCTTTCAGAGGGCCACGTGACGCGTTATTCAATCAGCGCCCGCCACCCTTTAGCCAGGATATCCTTAACACGTGGCACCATTTTTTAAAATAAAATTTAAGAACGTATATATATTTTCATGGTTAGGGCTGTATTGATTGAATGGGCGATGGCTTTGATGTTTATATTTTTTTATAAAGTACCCAGGGATGTTCTGCACGCTGAACACAAAATATACATATCATGTTTTGTAAGGATATCCGGCTCAGATTAGTTTGTTCGTGTCGGGGTTACCCAATGCCAAACATCCTAATCCCGGACCCTCCTCGCAGTCCTGAGACTCGCTGAGTCGAGGCTATCCTGAACAAATAAACGACCGAATATCATAATCACATTTCCTAACTCCAACTGACTAAACATGATTTATTTGACCAGGTAAGGGCCACTGATAGCTCAACTAAGTGACTCGTCGTCATGTGGACATTGCAGCTAACTACTCTAAACGCGTGATGTTGATTCTAAATGTGGAGAGAATAACTAGAGGAACCGCAGAAAAATCCACGTGACCACGGGGAGAGAGGCACCGCAAACTCCGAAGATGCTGACGTCAGGGTTGGGATCGAACCCACAAACTCTTGTATACCAGGCGAGGTAGTTAACGTCTCACCACCGCCGTGGCCGTTCAAATTGATAATTGCTGAGCAGACACATCGAGTCGTCTACTTTAAGCCGTCGCCTGCACAGACCTCGAGCACGGGGAGCGGATGAGACGTGAGATCTGGGAGCGATCGCTGCAGATGCCTCCGATGAATCTGTTATAATCGCAGGAAATGTGTAATGTGAAGATTTCACATCTCGGGAGGAGTGCACGATCACAGGCGTTTGGGAGCTCGCCGAAGATCCGCGGACGCGACGATGCGCGACACGGGGAGAGGGTGATTGGAGGGGGGGGGGGAATGTGAAGAAGAAAAAAATCAAGAGAGAGAGAAGAGATAGAGAGAGATTACGAGGTGAGAGAAGAAAGGAGGGGAGTGGCAGAGAGAGAGAGAACGGTGAGATGAAAGTACCAAGAGAGAAAGTGAAGCCGTTCGAGATGACAGAGCAGGGAGAAATGATAGCAAGAGAGCTGGAAAGGAGAGAGACAAGAACGAGAGGACACGGAGAGTAAAGAGAAGAGAGAGTGAACAGCTGAGCAGAGTGGGGAGAGCCACGCGTGTACTTCGCGTGCCCCCCGGGGTCTGACACCCGTGGACTTTCCTAGCCGTCTCCCTCCCTCCTTCCCTCCCTGCGAGGTCAGGGGGCAGACGGGAGCGGGCAGAGGGAGTCTCCGGGAGCCGGGGGGGGGGGGGGGGTGTGGGGAGCCCTGGGGAAGAGGTCTCTGGGGGTGAGGAGCCCAGCAGAGGAAGGAGATTGGAGCGAGGGGTCTCAAGATAACGCGACGGCATCTTGAATCTGGACACGAGTGGTCATCATCATTATTGTTGTGGGTGACCGATACCCACACACGTTGAAACGGAGCTCTTCGGTTTTATCTGGAGACCTGGGTGAGCGCCACTCGTGGTGAGATGTTAACTACCTCGCCTGGTACGCAGGAGGCCATGGGTTCGATCCCGACCCTGACGCCTACTGTATATTTGGAGTTTGCGGTGTCTCTCTGCCCATGGTCGTGTGGATTTTTCTCTGGGTCCTCCGGTTTTTCCCCTCCACATTTTGTATTAACGTCACGCGTTTCAAGTACGTGGCTGCAATAAATGTCCGCGTGTTAAGCCACTTGGTTGAGCTATCATTTGTGGCCAGGTCACTTCTGAAAAAGAGCTACATAGCTCAGTGGGACCTAACCTGGTAATATAGAGCGATGTTAGCGAACACCTATTATTGCCAGCATGATATACTACTAACACCATCGCTACAACTTCTGCCATCGGCGCCGCCACTCTTGGAACCACCATTTTACTCCACCAGCATCGGCGTCCTTATCATCTGAGAGTATGAGTCCTTATCATCACCACCACTACCATCGCTTTCAACACCACCACCACCACTCACACCAGCATCGTCATCATTACCACCACCACCATCAGCACCGCCATCTATGCTATCACCTCCATCACCATGAGCACCACCATCGCCACTTTGCCAGCATCAGCGTCACCACCGCAGTCACTTAAATTACCCCGATACCATCACCACCGCCACACTAACACAGCAGTATCGATTTCACCGTTTTGTTGCAGAGGTTCACGGTTCGAATCCAGCAGTTGCCCCGATTAATACTGCGTTTTTAAACGTAAAAAAAATGCAATGCGCTGTCTGCTTCACAGAGGATGTCAAAGATCCCGTGCTGTAATTCGCCAGAATTTGGCAAATTATCAAAAATAACACCGATCATTGTCCCCCTACCGCGCAAACACCTGGCAGGACCCTCCTGAAACAGAGTGACGAGACTCGGCGAGGCTTTCCCAGGTAACCACGTGCGCATGCATCGGCGCAACCGCGACGGCCCGTCGCCACCGCCACCACCGATGCCAATCGTCACACGGCACTGGGCTAAAAATCTGTCGTGAAATATTCAGTCTTATATTTGAGGAATAAACACGGAGCAGAGCGTGGCTGATGCGGACACGTGCCAAACAAACTACGTGTGTACCCGTATTGAGGAAGACGACGTACAGCCGACCTGCTGATGCCGTTCGTCAAAAATAAAAACGGCCATAAAACGAGGAAGAAAAATCGACCGGAAATTGCAAGATGGAATTTGCGCGCGAGGACATCGCCTGGCGTACAGAGAATGAAAAATGTTTCGGTTTCACTTCAAAGCGTGCGCAGCGTGTTTAATAACCTGCGTCGTCATCGAAGCGTTACGTTTTTCCGACGGCCACGTAATTCCTTTCTCTTGCCCCCAACACCGAACGTCAAAATAAATAAATAACTAGATAAGCAAGGCGAGAGTTTTGGGACCGCAGCTTCACTCACGGACGTGTCTCACGAGCCGTACAAAAGTCACATTTTTTTATTATTTTGTTTCCTAAATATACAAGGCAAGTCGTATAAAATCTTTCAACACGTATTATTTTACAAAGAAAGGAATGGCGTAGGCACACTGACATTTTACAAACGCAAACACAGGTGGCCCGGTGCCTGGTTGGGATGGGCGCGTGCGTGTGTGTGTGTGTGGTGGTTTCCAACGGTGGTGGTGGCTGGAGGCGGTTGTGTGTGTGTACGTGTGTGAGCGTGCGTGTGTGTGTGTGTGAGCGTGCACGTGTGTGAGCGTGCGTGTGTGTGTGCGTGTGTGTACGTGTGTGAGCGTGTGCGTGTGTGTGCGTGTGTGAGCGTGCGCGTGTGTGTGTACGTGTGTGAGCGTGCGCGTGTGTGTGTGTGTGGCGGTGCGTCGGGTGACAGCATGGATTAGGGAGGTCTGGCAGGAGTGGAGTGACGAATCTGAGGGGTGGGGGGGGGGAATCTGAATCTTGATGCCAGATAATGGGAAGGGGGGTTTGGGGGGTAGCGGGTGGATTTTGGGGGGTGGGGTGATCGGTAAGGCGAAGGTTCAAGGAGCGAGCGGCTGCCTCCGGGCGTGGAACCGCGGCGACGCGGGGTTCGTGTCCCACACCGTCCATTATAAACAACAACGACGACGACAACAACAACAACGGTGGGCGGGGAGATTTGTAGCTCGGGATTGCAGAGGTGGACAACGGCAGGAGGAGGAGTGGACCCTCCGGCAGGCGCTGGCGATGTCGCCACGCGACCGCCGCGGCCCCAACCGCGGCGCCTCCGCTCGCCCCCTCACCCGCAACCCCCCCCCCCCCCCCCCGCTCCTTTGTTCCGCGTCCGCGACGTCTTCGCCCCCGGTCAGTGTTCCGTCGCCGAATTCTCATCGCTGTCATCGTCGTCGAGTTTTTTTTTAGTTTTTTTGCGTTTTCGCTTTCAAAGAAAGTCAGTAAAATACATTTCGCCGAGTACATCGATTAAAAACGCCGCTCGCGAGCAATTGCAGTCCCGTTGGCGGCGGGGCGCCGGGCGCTTCAAATCCGACGTGCGGAGGAGCCGGAGTCGCTATGTACAGCCGGCCGGCACGCTGGCGGAGGACGCTGGGGGGGGGGGGGTGGCGTTTCAGGGCCGCGGCGCTTGGGGTGGGGGCCGAGGAGGATGCCTCGGCACGCGGGAGTTCCGAGTTGCCCGCGTGGGCGGGGACCCCCTCGTGGATCACCAACACCCTCGGTGCCGCCCTCCTCCACCTCGTCCTCCTCTCGGGCGCAGGGCGCACGGCGCCCGGCAGCAGGCGCGGCTGGATCGCCGCGGTCGAGCAGGGCGCGCCGATCGAGCGCTTGGCTGGACCGGGCGTCGGCGCAGGGTGGCACCGTCAGGGAGGCGGGGGGCGAAGGAGGCGCCGACCGGACGGCGATGCGGAGGGGTGGGGGGGGGGGCGTGGGGGGAGCTGTCGGCAGGGCGTCCGCGGCGCTAACCGCACGGGGGTCGCGGCAGGCGCCGCACCGCGCGGATTCCACGGCGCATTCGCGTTGTCGTGTTCGGCGTCGGCGTGGCGACGTTCCGCCGGCAACCCTTCCCCGCCCCCGGCGGCCACCTCCCCCCGCAACCTCCGATTCCTTCCTACGAGCGGCCGAATGGATTGTACCCAGAGCGGCGGCGGCGCGCCTCGCGCGTCTCAGCGGCGTGGAGACACGGCCGCCGCCGCCGCCGCCGCCGCCGCTCGTGTTGTATTGCCGCTGACGCCGTTGACGCTGGAGTTGTTGCCGTTGTTGAAGCTGTCGTTGTTCGCTGTTGCTTTCGCTCCGGGCGATGGGTTTCACGTTCCCGCTCGGTCTGCCGCCAAAGCGGCCGCAGCGAGCGGTGCCGGCGCCGCTCCGGGTGCCGTCGGGGCGGATCGCGCGTCAGCGGCAGCCGAGCGCGGCGGAGCGTCCCGGGAACCGTGAAGTTGCGAGTCCGTCGGTGCTGCCCATACCCTCCGCGTGCGTTCCACGCCGGCCTTTAAAAATAACAAAACACTTTTTATAAAAATAATTGTAACCAACAACTCCGACATGAGGACGCGTAAAATGAAAAAAAAAAATACGACCAAAACCGCGTACGAAATCTGAGCCGGCCCGGATTCGGGACGGCTGTGGTTTTCTGAATGGTGGCGATGGTGGCGGCGTTTACCGTCACCTCAGGACGGCGGGAACACGGCGGACGCCGAGGCTTGCGCCGTGGCGGTGGGGAGTCCTGAACCAAACGCACGCGCACACACACAAGCACACGCGCATGTACATACACGTATAAAGACAAAGATCCCCCGTATAGCCTTAACAGACTGTTGGGGCAAGTGCAGTTAGCGAGCACCTACGCAGGCCGGCATGGCACACGAGGGGGTGGGTGGTCAGCACCACGCCCGGCCACCTTTGTCTCCCCAGTGACGATGCACCAGGTACTCATTTGAGGCTGAGTCGACCTCATGGAAGCCCAGTACCCATTCAGATAATCGTCACACGTGTCGGCCGTGAGCGGAAATCGAACTCCGCTCGCCGGGCCAGTAGCACCACGACCCAGCACGACGACATCTGACGTCGCCCGACGGATTCCGTGGAAGGGGCGGGGGGGAGTGGGGAGATGCAGCTCCGTACCGGTGTAGCGGTCGTACTGCGCCGACAGCAGCTGGTACCCCATGCCCACGTGGGCGTGGTGGTGCGTGTGCACGTGCCGCTGCGATGGCGGCGGCGATGCTGCGCACCGCTCCGCCTCCTTGTCCCTCTCGGCGGCGCCGCCGGCGCCGCCGCTGGAACCGCCGCCCTTGTCCGCGTCGTGCACGCACTTGTCGCTCATCTGCCGGTGAGCGGGAGAGAACGGTCGGCGCGACGATCGGCGGTGGCCGAGCGCACGGCTCTCGCTGCTCGCGGGATCGCGATCTCACCGGAGTTGGTTGGCGGCACCCGCCCGGCAGTCCCAGCGAGAGGTACACTGGACGTGGTGGGCCGTGCGCAGGAGTTTCATTTCGGATTGCCGGTGGATTGGAGCGGGTACGCGACTAGTCGCGCGTCTTTACGTGTGCCCACCTGCGTGCGCGTGCGTTTGCGCGTGAACGTGCGCTCGCGGGTTTGACGTGCGCTCACGGTGCGCGTGCGTGGGTGTGCGTGCACGCGTGCGACGCGGCCGCTCCGGCGAGCCAGAGCAAGGCCCGGCGGAAGCTCCATCCATCACTCAATTAGCCGCGCCGGCACGTGCGGCTAATTTTGCCAAATCACAATCGAGTAAAACAAAAAAAACGTCCCCCAGGGTAGGCGCGCGGTCGACGCCGTCCGTCATTCATTGGCCGCCGTCTCCGAGGCCGCGCGTCAACGCCGCAATCGAACTTTTGCCCGTCCGTCCACGTGGTCCACTCATCCATCTGCCCAATCAGTCAGTCCATCCGCGCGTCAGCCCGTCCGCTGTTCTGTTTGCCTACCTGTCCGATGGCCTGTCCATCGATCACTAGTGCGTCCGTCTGAATTCATCAGTCTATCCGATGATTCGTGGTCCCTTTTATCCATCCGCCCGCCACTCCGTCTACCCATTTGTCCCGCACCCTCTCGCCTCTCTCCGTCCGTGCGTCCGTCGGTCCGTGCGCGTGTCCGCGCCTGCTCACCACGCGAGGGCTGAGCGACGGCGAGCGGTTGCGGTAATGCTTGGCGTGATGCTGCAGCAGCTCCAGCGCTTTCGTCTCCCCGCCAGGCACCGCGACGCCTCCGCCGCCGGTGGCGGGCCTGCCCAGCCCGACCGGCGAGCCGCTGGGGCTGAGCGACGACGTCACCTTGTCGGGGTCCTCCCGCGAAATCCCGCCGCCGCCGCCCCCGCCGGCCGCGGCCGCCGCGGCCGCCGCGGCGGCGCTCGCCGTGAGCTTGCCGTAGCCCTGGTAGGGGAACCCCGGGGGGTAGTAGGCGCCTGGAGGGAGCGGGCCGGGAGGAGAGGGATTGTTAACGAGGCGGGCGCAGGGGGGCCGCGGGCGGGGACGGTCGTTGCGAGCTGGAGGCGGACGACGGGCGCCTTTGACAGCAAACAAACAAAAAAACGCGCCGTACAAATAAATAATTATAGGAACTGAAATAAACCATCCCACGCTTTAATTAACGCGGCGGTAACGCACGCGTGCGGGGGGAGAGAGCGTCTCGGAGTCGCGCCCTCCCTCCCTCCCTCCCTCCCTCCCTCCCTCCCTCCCTCGTCGGTGGGAACGCAACGCCGGCGGCGGCGGCGCCGCCCGGCTCACCGCGACCACGATCATCGGTGGCAGTAACGGAACGCTCGTGGGGGTGGAGCGACGCGCGGCGGTGCCGCTGGCGCCTCATCCGAGAGCATTCTAATAATTGATTCTGTATTTCATGGTGTTATTTATTAGCAATTGATTTTTTTAAAGCAATTGCGACGCGCGCGCGCGGACCTCTCCTAAGTCGGCTCGGCCTTAAATGCGTACCTTGTGTGGAGGGTGGCGGGGACATCGCCATTGGGGAGACAAAGGCGGCCGGGAGTGATGCTGGCCACCCACCCCCTCGTGTGCCGTGCCGGGCTTCATAGGCGCTACTCGCGAAAGTCGCTCACTCCTACAGTCTGTTGTGGCCGTACGGGGGATCTTTGTGTGTAATCGCCCGCCTGGGTTCGATCGCGGGCTTCCTCATGCAGTGCCAGTTCGGCGCCGCGACCATCTTCTAGCCCCGATGTAATGGGGCCAACTCCGTCCCCTCCGCCCACGCGATGCAATCAGAACCACCACCCCACCCCCCACCCTTCTCCGCTCCACCTCTCGACGTAAAACCCCCGGGCGACCGCGGCCGACGCTCACCCTGGAAGCCGTGCAGCAGCATGGGCGTGGCGGAGAGGCCCCGGTAGGCCGGGTGCCCCGCGTCGTACACCTGCGCGTAGCCGTACGGCGACACGTACTGCAGGTACGCCGCGTGCTGAGCCGCCGCCGCCGCCGCCGCCGCGGCCACGGCCGCCGCCTCGGAGCCCACGAGGACGCCGGGGCGGCCGTCGGCGGCCCTGGCCGGCGGCGGCTCTCGCCCGTCGCGGCCGTCGCGGCCGCCCGCCGCCGGCGTGGAGCGGGGATTGTCGGACGGGGTCGGGCACGAACCGGGCCTCCTCACCTCCCTGGAAGGGGTGGGGGGGGGGAGGGGTGGTGGTGGGGGAGAAGGGGGACAACGTACCGTCCCTCCGTCAATCGGGGAGGCGGTCGCTCGTCGTTCGCCCCCGAGAGCGCGACAGAAGCCGCGCGGCAATTCCCTCGCCTCGCTCACGGCCCTCCTCCCTCCGCTCCCGCGCCCGCACGAGTCGCTCCCGCGCGCGACCCCTCCCCTCCGCTCCCCTCCGCTCCGCTCCACTGACCTGCCGACGTCGTCGCGGGCGGCGTTGACGACGGTGGTGGCGCAGGGCGGCTTGGCGGGGCTGCCCTCTCGCCGGGGCGGCTGACCGGGCGGTCCCGGGTCGCGGTCGCGCCGGTCCTCGCGGTCCTCGTGCTGCCGCGGGCCGTACGGGAACGACGACGCCGACGGCGCCGCGGACGCCGGCGCCCACGCCTTTCCCGCCGCGTTGCCGACCTGCTCCCACCGGCAACGCGCGCGACCGCGATTGGAACACATAGCCCCCCCCCCCCCCCCCCCGGGTCGTACGGGCCCCATTACTCTAGCCGTCGTCAATCCACTGCTGTCAGAGCGTACTTCACCACACTGGTCGGTGTGGGTCGGTGAAGGGTCAGTGCAGGGTCAGGTCAGATGTCACTCGCCACCGATGCTGGCTACGGCCGGGTCGATAGCGCCGCGCGCTAACGAGTGCACCACCACTCGTCCCACACTCACAACACCGAGACACACGCACAGATACTCGCGTACACTCACACGCGCACAACAACAACAACAACAGGCGCTGGTGCCAGAATAGGTGCACTTCGAGGCCGCATTAAATGTCAAACGCTCGCTGTCAGGGGGTCATAGCAAAGGTGCACTCCGCTAGCCGCCCGAGCGCGGCTCGTTGGTGAGCATCACTCCTGCATCTTACCCACGCCCACTCACGCACGCACACACCAACTCACACACACACACAATCACAACACACACACACAATACCTGCTTGTGGTGCTCCATTCCAACGTGCTTTCCGCTGTCCGCACCGGGTTTAACCTCCTTGCGAGCACCGTCAACCGGCCTGCCTTGAAACTCCTCGTTGCGAAAGTCCATCTGCTGCTGATGCTGCTGCTGCAGCTGCTGTTGCTGCTGCTGCTGCTGGCTTTGCTGCTGATGTTGTTGATGATGATGCTGATGCTGACTATGCTGCTGATGCAACTGCTGCTGATGCAGGTGCTGCTGTATCTGCTGCTGCTGAAGCTGCTGATGCTGCTGCTGCTGATGCTGCATGGATGCAGTTGTGTCCAGCACTCTGCTCGGCACTCCGGACTGCGCCATCTTCCCCATGTCCCGGTCCCCATCCTTGTCCTTCAGTTTCAAGTTCCCGGCACAACCGCCGCCGCCGCCGCCGCCGCCCCCGCCCGGGCCAGGGCTGGGGGTGGGCGAGCGGCTGTGCATTGTGGGGGTTGGCGTGCGGCCCACGGCAGCCGAGGGGACGGGCGGCTGGGAAGGCGCCCGGGAGACGGTGGCCGAGGCGGGGGCCTTGTGGCGGGCGGATAGGCCCGGGTCGCGGTCTCCGTCCAAGCCACCGCCGCCGCCGCCGGCCTCCAGCCTCCTCTCCCGCTCCAGCTCGCCGGGGCTCAGCTGCTGCGGGGGTGGGGTCCACGTCGTCGCGTGCCCGGCAGGGAGGGGGTGGGGGGAGGGGTGGTGGTGGCGGTGACGAGGTCAGGGTTAGCAGCAATGTGGTTTGAAAACATCATCCAACCACTCGCTGCACTTGAGAACCCGGTTTAGTCACGTTCGATGACCTGGATTTCAACCCAGTGCCTACCTCGTCGCTCGACGATTCCTTTACTCGCCTGGTAAAACACCTCTCACCTGCACAACAGTGACCCTCACCTGGCCAACAGTGACCACTCACCTGGCCAACAGAGACCACTCACCTGGCCAACAGAGACCTCTCACCTGGCCAACAGAGACCCCTCACCTGGCCAACAGTGACCACTCACCTGGCCAACAGTGACCTCTCACCTGGCCAACAGTGACCTCTCACCTGGCCAACAGTGACCTCTCACCTGGCCAACAGAGACCCCTCACCTGGCCAACAGAGACCCCTCACCTGCACAACAGAGACCCTCACCTGGCCAACAGTGACCACTCACCTGGCCAACAGAGACCCTCACCTGGCCAACAGAGACCCCTCACCTGCACAACAGAGACCCTCACCTGGTACGTGATGCCCCTCTCGGACGCCGCGGCAGCAGCGGCCGCGGCCGCCAGCCGGTGCTGCTCCTGGTAGAATCGCTCGTAGTGCCTGTAGTTGGCGGAGTTGCCCAGCAGCTGCTGGTAGCCCTGCTCCACGTAGCCCAGGCCCGGGATGTAGGCGTAGTGCCCATAGTACAGCGCCTGCGACGACCGCTGCTGCTGCTGCTGCTGCTGAATCACCGACTGCTGTTGCTGCTGCTGCTGCTGCAAGTGCTGTTGGTGCTGCTGCTGCAAATGCTGCTGCTGCAAGTGGTGCTGCAGCTGCTGCTGCTGTTGCTGCTGCTGCTGCTGCAGGTGCTGGTGGTGAAGGTGCTGCTGCAGGTGCTGCTGCAGCTGCTGGTGCTGGTGGTGGCAGAACGTGAGGTCCGGTGCGCGTTTAGTCGCCTTCGCTTCCGCCGCGCTCTTCAGCGTCTCTTCCTCTTCGGGCTCCAGCTTCACCCGCACGGGGTGCGGACCCACGACGACCTTGGGGTCCTGTGCCGCCGCCGGCGCCGTTCCTCCGCCGCCGCCGTTGCCGCCCCCGGCCTTGCCGTAACCGCCGCCGTCGCCGTAGAGCTGCCCGTATGTCGGGGCGGCGTCCGCGTCCTTTTTCAGCTGGGGCGGCGGGCGGTCGCGCGTCTCGGCGCTGCTGCCCACCGTCTGCTCGCACGGCTGCCCTGCGCCGGTGGCGCCGGCGGCAGCTGCGCCGGCGGGGGGTCCCGGAGGCGGCGGCGCCGTCCCCCGGACCCGACCGCCGTCCCCGGCGCCGCCGTCCGAGCCCACGTCCGAGATGTCCGAGTAGGCGGCGGGGCTGGTGGTGGTGGGCGCCGACTGCCTGTCCACGTCCGCCTTCACCATCACCGGCGGTAGCGGCGGCGCGCACCGGTGCTCGCCGGGGCAACGCGGGGCGCCGGCAGGCGAGTCCTGCCCGGGGCCGGCCCCTCGGCCGTTCGCCGGTGACGCGATCGTGCTGACGAGGCCGATGCCGGCCGGCGGTGGCTGCTGCTGCGGCTGCTGCTGCTGCTGCGGCTGGGGATAAGGCTGCTGGTGCCGGTTGCTGCGGGGCGACACGGCCGTCTTGACGGGCGCGCCGGCGCAGCAAGCGGTGGCGCCGATCGACGGGCTGGGCGCGTTGTCCGAGAAGCTGTACACCTTGGCCGCCTCGGCCTTGATGCTCGCGAGCCGGTTGACCTCATGGGCCTCGCCCAGGCCGTTCACGAGGCCCTCCACCTTGGCCAGGTACTCTCCAGGGCACGCGGGGCCCGCCGGGCCGGCTTCCCCGAGGGTTGGCGGCAGCCCCACCGCCGTCGTCGCCGCCGGCGCCGCTGGCGCCGGCGGCGACGACGACGACGACGTTCCCGTGGCTGCGACCACGGCGGCCGCCGCCGCCGCGTCCAGCGTCTTGGGGCCTTCCGGCTCCTTGTCCCTGTCCTTCTTCTTCTTGTCTTTCTTCTTCTTGTCCTTGGACGACGAAGACGACGACGACGAAGACGGCGGTGGCGGCTGCCCGAGCGCGTCTTGGGGCTTGGGCTGGATGGGTTTGAGCGGGGGCCCCACCGCGGGCGGCAGGGCCGCGGGCGACAGGGAGGGCGGGAGCCCCGCCAGGCCGCCGCCGCCCACGGGCGACTCGGGCGCCGTCGCGGGCAGCGGGGCGGCCGCCACCGCGGACAGCGGCACGAGCTGGGGCGGCGGCAGTGCCGGCGCGATCGTCCGGACCGCCTTGGGCTTCGGTGAGGATTTGTCGTTCCGGCCACCGCCGCCACCCTGCTTCTTGCCCTTGTCCCCCAGCTCGGCGGCTTTGCCGGCGGCGCAGTTGGGCAGCCCCTCCATCTCCAGCTTGGGCATCTCGTGGCTCGTGTCGCCATCCAGCGACGCCTCCAGCGCCGCCGCGATGTTCGCGATCGCCGGGATCTCGTCGTTCTCTTCCGGCTCCTCCTTCCGCTTCGTGGACGCCTTGCCGTGGCCCGCCCGGGCCGCCGGCGCCGCGGGGCCCTCCGAGCGGCCTCGCGGCGCCTCCCTGCCGCCTCCGCCCTTGGACGGAGACGAAATCGGAGCGGCCCCCTTGGAAGCGGCGCCCGGGGGCCGCTCCTCGCCGTCCGACGCCTTCTCCTCGCTGTCGGCCTCGTCCTCGGCCCGGCTCTCGGGGTCGGAATGCGCGTGCGTCTGGTGGTAGCGCAGGCCGTTGGCGTTGCGGTAGCGCTTGTTGCATCTGGGGTGGGGGCAGTCGAGGAGGGCGGGGGACTGCGGCGGCCCCAGCGGCGTGCCGGGGCCCGCGCCCTGCGGCGACGTCACCGGGGTGCCGCCCCCGACCCCTTGCGACGCCGCCCCCCCAAAGCCGCCGCCGCCGCCGCCGCCGCCGCCCGCTCCACCCTGAGCCGAGTTGGACCGCGACCGCTTGGCGCCGTTGCGGCCGTCCTCGACGCCGGTCGACAGCTCCAGCTCGTTGGGCGGCTTCGCCTTCCTCTTGTTGCTGCCGCCGCCGCCGCCAGCAGCGCCGCCGGCGCCGCCGGTGCCCGTCACCAGGCCGGCCTTGACGTCGTCGCTGGCGCTCTGAGGCGGCGTCCTGCGCCCGTTGGCCGTGCCGTTGACGGTCGCCTTGCGCCGGCTGCTGCTCGATCCGCCCGCACCTCCGTTGGAGCCTCCGCCGTTGCCCCCGGCGCCGTTGCCCCCGGCGCCGTTTCCACCGCCGGCGCCGTTGCCGCCGTTGCCGCCGGCGCCTCCGGAGCCGCCGTTTCCTCCGGCGCCGCCCCCCGCGCCCCCGCTCCCTCCCCCGCCGCCCCCTCCGCCGGCGCCGGTGCCACCTTTGCCCTTGCCGCCGTTGGCGGCGCCGCCCCGGCAGGCGCTGTCCGCGGCGACGGCGCTCTCGTTCGCCGGCGTGCTGGAGACGGAGCGGCCGCGCTTGGAGCGGCTGCGGTTGCCGCGCACGTCCAGGTCGCTCGTGGGCGACTCGCAGAACCTGGGGCCCGGACGCGGGGAGAGCGACGGGTCAGCCGGCGTCGTTCGGTCGACCGTACGCGGGCGACCGCTGTCTAACCTGGTGCCTGGTGCTTTATTTAACCGGTCCCATTGGCAGTTTAACACGACGTGGGCTTTCGCGACCGATATTCGTCACATTTCTGGCAAAATCGCCCGATGAAGCTGTATGTAATAACCGGCAAAACGTGACAGTGCTCAAATTGTAAATGTTGTGGGTTTATCCTCCACACACCGGCGTACTGAAGTAGTAACTAATTGGCATGTTTTGTTTACGTGACAAACCTTACTAATTGGCTGTGTCGGGTGGCGGTGGGTTAACGACAGCTATATTATGGACAGTGACGTTGTTAACTCTGCTTGTGCACCCACTGCCATCACAGCAGCAGCACCGAGTCACTGAATTTTGCAAGGGAGGCCTGTGAGATGCAGTTCGAAAGGAATATTTATTTCTGAGCAGGAAAAGTGTTCGACAGTGTGCGCGTGTATATTTTTATGTACCGGGTCAACATTGCAAAAGACGCTCATGTCGTCTCAACGTCGCCTTGCTGCGCGGAAAAGTTCGCGCCATGAATTCAGTGGAAACGTTACAATGTTACAATCCCGGGCTCGAGAGCGCGCCGCGATTGTTGCCAACGCGAACCGCGACCACCATCCCTGCAGAGCATTACCGCCACCGCCGCCGACTTTGCAAAACGCCTCGCGTGGTAACCAGCACGCCGAGCGTCGCGAGCGAAATCATTAAACCCCGGCCCCCCCCCCCTCACCGGGCCAAGTCTACTTCAACTCGGAGTCTCGGTGTCAATGCCCCCGACGAGTTTAAGTAACGTGGGACACATTGCGATGTTTAAACGGCGAAATCAAAGATGGGCGGGCGGGCAGAGGAAGCCATGTCGCCACGCTCACGGATCGCGGCGCTTCCTGCCGATGCTTTTATTCCTCGTCGCTCCGCGCCGACGTCTTTAATGAGATGAAAGCTCGCTCCGGGTTTCTCGTCTTTGCCATAAATTGCAGCTCCGCATTCATCGTGCACTGTCAGCACTAACCTTTGAAGCGGCCCCCGTTAATTCATTTTTTTGGGAGTTCCTTCAAATTTTTTTTTTTATCTTCCGCGCGCACGGCTTTTCGACGACGGGAGCGGCGTTGTGGGGGGTGAGAGGTGGGGGCGGGCGATGGTGGTGGCATTGTATCGACCGCGCGGGGGTTGGGGATGCGGGGAGGGGGAAGTCAGCGACGGCGTTGTCATCCCGCGCCCCTCCGGCGTGATGTTTCCTACAGTGGAGCGCCGTCGTTCGCAAGGGCCCCGATGCAAGCGATTAATGGGGTGGAGGCGGGCGTCACCCTCTGTCTAATTTACCCCGTCCCCTGGATAGCCTGGGCGTCGGTGCAGCTGCACGGCCTGCGCCCTCGATGGCTCTGCCATTTGTTTGGCATCTAACCAACGCCGGAGCGACCGAATCCGGCGTTCAGGCTAAAAATAAGGTTTTGTCCCCGCGCAAAAATTTGTTTTGGTGGATGGTGTCGGCGTCCGCCGGGACCCGTCTAATGTCTAACGTGAGCGCGCAACATCCCGTGGCCCGGAGGCGCCGGCTGAACGTCCGGTGTAGAACAAGTCCACTGGACGGCGACACCGGCGATCAATCGACAAGGCAGCCGCGCGGGCCCAGCACGGCGACAGTTTCGTCCGTCGCTCGGCAAATTCGTGTCGCCGTTTCGCCTCGGTGCGGTCGCTCGAACCGTGGGTGCTGGGAGTGCGGCCTCACCGGGGCGGCGCCCAGTCGTGCCGCGTACAGTCCAGCAGCGTCCCCACGTACGTCTTGTTCCTCCACGTCACGTTCACCACCAGGATGCCTGCGAGCCAACGGCGGGGCGGGCACACGGGCACACGCGCACACGCACGCACACACACGCACACACACGCACACACGCACACACACGCACACACGCACACACACGCACACACGCGCGTTCACACGAGCGCGCGTACGAGCGTGCGCGCGGTTGACTCGGCCCATCGTCGTCCCTCCGCGGTCGTTGAGAATAATTTCACGAACCTACAGAACTTCCCTGCGGGCCGCGGGACGCGGCACAGAGCCGGGGGCCAATACTAGGCAGCCAATCCCAACGGTTACGTGTGCGCAAAACGCGGCAACGTGGAGCCGGCCGCAGCACTCGTCAAGGAATCGCGCGTCGAGCCAGGCGAGGGAGCTGCGTGCTTGGCGCCGCTTGCTCCGTGGCAGAAGTGAAACAAAGAGCAGTGCACACATCCACACATTGAATTTTCTTTTAAAAAAGAAAATCTCCCCCTACCTCCCACCCGCCATAACGGTGGGGTGTACCACTTTGAGAACAACACCGCTGCTGCAAGTTCCAGACGGTGGCAGGAAACTGGAGACAACAATTAAAAAAACGGTGACTCAAAGCAAACAACTCCCCAACACCCCCCAACGACATCTCCCCGTGACAAACCCAACCGCTTTGTGAACCAAAACCTCAAGTGGCAGGAGACACAACGCAAACGACAAAACACAAAGAGCGGCTCTGGTAGCGCTATTAAAGAGGGATTTCTGCGCGGGGGGGGGGGGGGCGGAAGAATCCCTTTTGGATGATGAGAGACGGCACAGGCGAGAGAGAGCGTGAGAGAGAGTAAGGGAGAGCGAGCGAGTGAAACGGCGAGAGAGGGAGTGTGAGAGAGAGAGATGAAGTACACGAGACGGAAAGAGCGGCCAAAAGAATAAGAGAGCGACCGAGCGAGTGAGTAAACAATTTTTCATCAGGTAAGGCGCCACTGAGCCGTGTAACTCTTTTTGCAGAAGCGACCTGGCCATCACAAACGAGAGCTCAACGAAGTGCCTCATTGCATGGAAATGTAGAGCAGCGAAATGCCCCGAATGCACGTCCATTCTAAATGTGGAGGGAAAAACCGAAGGGCCCCGAGGAAAAATCCACTCCAAACATACAGGCATCGTCGGGGTCGGAATCAAACTCACGATCTCCTGTATACTAGGCGAACCTCGCGCCACCGTGGCGAAAGAGCGAGTGAGAAATTGTGCGGTGAGCGAATGACAGAGAGAGAGAGAGCGCGAGTGAGTGAATGGGAGAGCGAGCGAGCGAGCGAGCACAAGGCGCAGCGCGGGGAGGCGTCGCGGCTGAATTTCTCGGCGGCGCAGCAATAACACGAGGAAATGGTTTCCCTGCCGTGACCTGCCCAGGTTCTGTTTGTTATTAATGCGTAATGAGTGCTTCTTGGCCGTGTGCCAGCGGGTCTACTACGGGCTGAGCGCCAGCCACCGCATCACCTCCCCACCTCCCCCGTGCCTCTCCTCTCCAGTTCCCCGCCACCTCCATCACTGCTACCCGCTCACTCCCTCGCTCGCTCCCTCCCTCTCCCCCATCCACCACCTTGCAGGCCGCCGTCGCCAATCTCGGCTCCCTCCACCCCCTCCACGCCCCCCCCTCCCCCCCGCTCGTCGTCTCAAGGGGCCAGCCCCGCGGATGAGAGGAGGAGGAGGAGGAGGGCGACCCCGCACCCCCTCCCCCCACTCCCCACCCCCACCCCGTGCGTTCCGGAGCGCGACCCCAACGTGCGCGGTGGATTCCTCTCATCTACGCTGCTGCGTCCAAATTCTCCCGTCGCTCGTCACGGCTCGTGGCCTTACGAGCGGGCGGGCGGACGGGCGGGCGAGCGAGCGAGCACGAACAAACGCGCACACACGTGTCCGCGTGTCCGTGTGGGTGTAATGTGAAGGGTCGCCTTTAAGTGCACCTAACCTGGCACGAGCGCCGTGGTGACTATCACTGTGAACGGCGGTTGTTGTTGCAATGGGGAGCGGTGGCGTAGCAGTTAGCGCACCGTGCCACGACCCCCGTGACCTGAGTTCAACAAATAAAAGTGGAGGATATTTGAAGAACTCCTGACCCTCCGCCTCGGTCAGCTCAGCATCAAATGAATCGGTGTGTAAACATCACCAGTAGGGAGACAAAGGCCGAGCGTGGTGCAGGCCACCCACCCCCTCGTGTGCCACGTCGGCCTTCTTAGGTGCTCGCGAACAGCACTTGCCCCAAAAGCCTGCGAAAGACTATGGGGGGGAATCTGTGTCTTTGTAATGCTTTGTGCGCACAAGACAAAGATCTCACGTATAGCCTGTTGGGGAAAGTGCTGTTAGCGAGCACCTATGAAGGCCGGCAGGATACACACGAGGGGGTGGGTGGCCAGAATAATGCCCGACTGCCTTTGTCTCCCAAGTGGCGATGTTTACACACCGCACCAGGTACTCATTTGAGGATGAGTCGACCCTGGGGGGAAGGTCAGGACAGCTTCGGATAATCGTCATCGGCGTTAGCCGTTTGCGGGAATCAAACTCGGTTCGCCGGGTTCGTAGAGCAGCGTGCTAGCCACTGCGCCACCGCCGCTCCCCACAGGGGAGCACGCGTGCACACACACGTGCACGCGTGCACACACACGTGCGTGGAAACGAGCACTCTTGTGGGAGCAGAGAGGGAGGCATTGTTTCGATGGGCGGGCGGGCGGGCGGGCGGGCGAGCGAGAGGGCGTGCGGCATTGTCCGAGAGACGGGGCCACATCTGGAGAAGCGGTCGTTGGTAATTTTTTATTTTAATTTCACAACGGGGCGGAGCGCCGTGGTCGACGGCCGCGGCAGCCGTTGCGAAACACAAACGCGCGCGCCCATGGTGGCGCGCGCCAAAGAGGCGGGCAGAGGACCACGTAGGATTGAGGAACACGGAGAAAAGATGTCGGTCCTGGGCAGGACGCGCGTCACGAGAGGGGGACAACACACGGCGGTCGACGGGCGAGACAAACGACGGCGTGGCGGAGGAAGGACGGAAACGCCGCGGAGACGGAGCTACGAAGTCGGCTCCATTGCAGGTGCCGGGTGGATGTTAATATCCGGGGATCGAGATGACGACGGCCTGGGGAGGCTTTCATCCAGCATTGCGTGGATTTTGTCCGATAATGATGACGTTCATGATGATTTGCACAAAGACGAAGATCCCCCCCCCCCCCCCCCGTACAGTCTTCCCGGCTGTTTGGAGTAAGCAAGTGCTGTTAGCGAGCACCTATTTAGGGCTGGCACGACCCACAAGAGGGTGGTTGGCTAGAACCGCATCTGGCTGCATTTGTCTCTCCGCTTATGCTCACACAATGCGCCAGGCAGGTGCTAGTTTGAGGCTCAGTTGACCTAAGGGTGGCCCAGGACAGGTTCAGATTATAAATTATTACTCGCCAATGATGCTTTCCGTGGCGGGGAATCAAACTCCGGTTGCCCAGCTTGAAGCGCAGTGGGCTAACCCGCTGCACCACCGACCCCCCCAAAAAAGCTGCGTAACGCACACAACAACTCGTGGCAGTGACGTCACGACAGCGCTTGCGCCAGGCTAGGTGCACTCTGAGGCCGTCAAGCAAAGTGTCGAAGGCTCGCTGACGGCAGGAGATCACGGGACAGAGCCAAGTGCCGTAGGTTGACCGAGCGAGATGACTTGCCGGGTGCACCGCCTGCGCTCCCCACCGTGCCAACATAAACACACACGCAGTACGCTCCACGGTGTCTGCACTGGCAGAGAGTGGAGATCTATCACCACCACCACCGCCGCTGCTGCACTGGCACACAAAACCGGGCAGACGCACGACCGACGCAAACCCACGCATCGCTCCGGCGATCCGCGCCGGTGTTATCGCCGCTGATGACGACGATCATGGAGACATTGGCGCGTCATCACTGAGGCACGCGTCCAACACGTGCGTCCAACACGCGGAATTTTACTGAGCATCGCCGCTTGCTCCCCCGCGACCGGACCGCAGGCCCCATCGGTTGACGGACCGACTACGTACGCCCAGAGTAACCAACACAATAAGTAATTGGCCAGAAGTTTCAGCCAACAGCCTTTCGTCAGGACGAACATATCGAGTGTTTTTTTTTGTTACTTCCACCTGTGCACAATTTCCGACGAAGCAGCAGCAGCAGCAGCAGCAGGTTACGTCATATGGTCGTACTTATTTCACACAAAGCGCTTGCCACGAATGAACAAACAATACCTCGCTGATTTCGTCAAGGAGCATGAACCATCACGGGCATCCTCGCAGCAGCAGCGGCTTTTGGCTCAGCCGTCGAACATAGACGGTGGTCACCGCATCGCGCGGCGCGTTCGGACGCACGATTCTGCGGCCCGTCTGGAACACTCTCTTCCTCCGATTTTAGGAAGCCACTAGAGCTGTGCACTTTTAAGTCATCTATATTGAAAACTCATTTCTGTAAAACTGCGTCTTGTGTTTAGTTTGTTGTCCTTCCCCCGCACCTCCGATTAGCATGGTTGGCTACGTGAAAGAAGTTCAACGTACGTGCGTACGACATACGTACAACATACGTACACACAGGCACGAACGACACGCCCCGAGCAGAAACGCCACTTTGGAGTTCTGACACGGATCCACTGCGTCGTTAAGGCGCCTGACACATCGTCTGGAACCGCGTAATGACTGCCAATCGGGGAGCAGAAAAGCATGAATACGTTCGGCAGATTGAACAAAAAGGAGCTGAAATGGCAAACTTGTCGAAGGAGGTGATGGGCTGACTTTCATTAATTCCGAAAATAAATAAACATTATAAATTCATTCGCACTCAAGACCTTGGGTGCGTAATGCGCTGCATGAACACGCACGCACGTTTCACATCCATGTGTTAATTCACGGCACGGGGCGTGCGTGTTCCTTATTGCAGAAACCACCGACTACCAGCCCCTGCTTCTATCAACCATCGATAATTATAAATCACTGAACACACACAGCAAACACACACACACACACCCAATCACACACACACACAGCAAACACA